AGCAATGAACTGGTTGTGAATGGACTGTTTGAAGTGTTGGGTAAAATGATAGCTCACAGCCTCATCCAGTCAGGTCCAGGATTCCCATACCTGTCTCCTACCATTTACTGGTATCTGGCAACTGGTGATCCACAGATTGCCATCCAGAAGGCCACATGCTCAGATGTGGATGACATTGAACTTGCTGAGTACATCAAGAGGGTAAGTGTATTATTTGTTCTATACAGTGAAACCTGTATTAAGTGGACACCTGCAGCACCTTTGCTGGAGTCTGCTTAATGAAAGGTTGTACAGAAAACATGCGAAGAAACGTTTGAAAAAAAAAAGAAAACAAATAGACAAACCATTCGTCTGCTTAATACAGGTTTCACTACGCTTTGGCTCAGTTTTGTTCCTAGTTTAAATTTTTGTTTCTCTTAATTCATGTTGACTACCATACATTTACTTACAATGGCAGTAGACAATAGTAATAGAAAGGGACATTTGAAATTATCACTGATAACCATATTCTATACTTGCAGGTCACAGAAGCACCAGCAGATAAGCTTAATGTCATTGCCTTTGAATCTGGCTTTATCAGATTGTTATCTGAAGCTGGAGAGAGTAGAATACTTACAGTAAGTAGAAACCTAATTTATTATGTAGTAACAAGTTAGATAGGGCACATTTAGTTAACACTACAATTAGCTGTATGTGTTTTCTGCTAAGTGCCACATGGTTTAAATAGAGGCAAAGAAATTTATATTTTGCAGTTTGGAGGTCCGTTAAATTGTTGGTTAACTGTGAAAAGAAGTAGTTTTGTTAAAACATAGAAAAATGCTGATCGATTCTCACAAATAATTCAAGCAACAGGTTAAAATATTATTGTAACCTGTTGCTGAAAATAATAATAACAGTAATAACACAATTAAATAATGTATTCTTGCAGGCTGATAACAAGCTCGATGTCCTCCAGTCTCTAATGCTTCACAACATTCTAGTGAAAAAGAAGGCAATTCTTGATCAATTTAAAAAGGGGCTGTCAATCCTTGGTTTGTAAGATGAAATACAAAGAAAGCCGGAGATGTTTGAAGAATGCTTTCTCTACCAAGGCATAGTAAGTAATGATTCTGTGGCCAGTAGCCTTCATTTCTGAGGACAAGAATGCTCAAAGGGTATTCCAGTTGCTCCAGACATTCATCAAGAATTGTAATGCAGATGGCCCCGATGATTCCCTGAGGTTCGTCACTGGTACAAGGTGCTCAGCGAAAAGCATCCTTCCACGACGTATAACGGTCTCTTGTGAGAATACAAACAGCATTTTTGCATCAATTTGCTTGCTGGAGCTAAAGCTTCCAAACCATTTCAGAAATTATGCTGAGTTTGAGGCGGCAATGCATTCGGTGATTGGTGGAAACACATTCACAACAGGATGAAATGGCAGAGTGCAAGTAATGAATAGTCACAAATGTACTGTCTGTACTTTGAAATTAGCCAATGTTGTTGTAAAAAAAATCCAGAGTTCAAATTGTTAGTTTGATGGGTGGTGTACATAAAAGTTGAAAATACAGTTCAAAGGTGACAACATTTCAGGGAATGCTGCAGTGCTGTCAATTCCAGCATACATGTTTGGTGTGTTAAGTGTCACTATCACCATAAGGTTTGAACTTAAACAAAAAAACTGTAACTCTGTATGACAATTCTACTTTGGACTGAAAGAAGGGGAAAAAATAGCCTGAAAAGTTATGTTGTGCACTTAGCCCTTCAATTCAGTGACAATGTAAGAACCTTTTTTAGTAAGTGTAACACAAAGAGGCCAGTAGACCTTTTTACCAATACAGTGACCAAGTGGAATAACTTAGTTTTAGAGGCTGTTATATGATGCCTAGAGGGCACACAACAAGCGTCTGCTTTTTCTCAAGAATGCATCTTTTTTGCTGTATTCGAAAAGGATTCTAAAGGCAATCATTGTGTCTATTTGGTGACTGCCTGTTTCCTGGAAAACAAGAGTTATGGTACCCTGCGAACAGAGTCTCCTTCGACTCATCTAGGAAGTGGCTCACACACCTGAACATACAAAGCTGTTAGAGGAGATCCTAACAACACAGTCTTTCATAGCAGAAAAAAAAAAGAGAAATCAGATGGTGGCACGAAGCTTATCTACCTAAGAAGGCTTTATCGTACCAGTAAAGCGGGTCCCGATTTTCGCCAAATTGTATCTTACCTAGAAGATGTGAAGGGAAATGACACCAACAACACTGCATTGCTTCAGTACATCTTCAAAGGTGAAGAGCTTCCATTTGAAGTGCAGCCGCACGGGCAACAGAAGAACGTCCTCGGGTCCATTTCTTCCGACTAACAAGACCACCAAGGCTCAAATGCGTGACGAATTGACAAAAACCAAATCAAAACAGTCACTCTTTAAGTTGGGGAAAGTAAAGATCTCTTAAGCGCAGTAAGCTCAGCTGAAAGTCCACGCGATCGAAAACAACCGTACAACTTTAAGCACAACGAACGCGTAAAGAGCACCAATGGTCGTGGTTCAAGAAGCCGCCGAACAGAAAAGAAAAGAGAAGAACAATTTATACACAGCATCGCGTCGTGGCCAGAGCCAAAGTGTATTCTTGGGTATCAGTATCAGTTTCATGATATTGCAAGATTCTGTTCAAACCCATCTATTCACTGTCTTTTGACTATTGATACCACCTTCAATCTCGGAAATTTTAGTGTTACTCCAACAAGTTACAGAAACATCCTCTTGGAAAGTAACAGTACAGGAAAGAATCCGCTTTTCGCGAAGCCCATTTTATTGTGAGTTTACTTTTAACTGTAATTTTAGCTTTTTAAATCACTGTAATTTTCCTCTTGATTGTAGTTTTAGCTCTTTAGACCTTATATTTCGTTTTTTATCTTGTCATGCGCATTTGAACATTTTATGGAATTTGCGCATTATAGATGTTTTATTATTAGTAGTAGTAGTAGTAGTACACATGACACGTTCGTATGCAGCGTACTCCCACTTGCTTGTAAAGTTGAAGGAAGAGGAGCCTTGATGATGTTAAAACAACTATCAATGATGGAGAGCCAGGTCTAATGAAAACACTGGACACATATCTGAGAAATAGCATTAAACTGCGATGTCTAGGACACTTCAGACAGAACATTAAGGACGAGCTGAAAAAACTTGGGATACGTGGTACTCAAGAGAACTATTTCCTGGATATGAGTTTTGGTTCTGTTTGTGGTGATGTTAGAGTTGAAGGTATCCTAGATGCAAATGACGAAGAAGAGTTCGACAACCTTCTCATTGTATGCAAAAGAGAGATGACGAAGAGAGAATTGGAGGTGCGCCCTGTTACACAACCCTTCCTCTACAACTGGATCCTGAAACATGCTGAGCTAATGAAGAAATCTATGATACTAGGAGTGAGACGTGCTGCCGGTTGGAGACAGTTGCACATCAAACGATGCTGAGAGTAACAACCACGCGTTAAAAAGTGCCGCTGACCATGAAAAAGCGTCAAGACATAATCTGAGCCGTCTTGAAAAGTGGAGTGTCGATTTAAAGTAGTTTACTCAAACCTTGGTAGGTGGTTCCAGATGTCCAAAGAACGGAGAATGCGACATCTGAACGAAGTGATGAATACTCCTGTGACAAGCAGCGAAGGAAGGAACCCTGAACATCATCTTTCAATCGGTTATACTTCTGCACGACCAACGATGTTAGCAGCCATTTGATGTAAAGCCCAGGAGCATCTCTTAAGTATAGGAAGCATTTCTGTACTCCCCTCACATGATGACGTAGGAGCCCAGGCCTCATATCCACCGAAGCGCTTTGCGGTTTACAGCACGTCACATCCTGACAGCCTAAATGTAGTAAAGCTGTACGATGATGGTTCCATGCAATGTCCTTGCATAATGTTTAAATCAAGCACCAATTTATGGTCCCATTCAGTTGCTTTTGCCGAGAAAAAAAAAACGTCTTGTCAATTTACCATGCCTGGATGAGCACAAGTGAAAGTGACTGTAACCCGTACCATTTGGCAACCAAAAATGTTAATGTCCGAGCCTCTGGTCAGAAAGTTGGGAAAGAAAGGCGCAACAGAAAAACCCAGAAGAATCCAGAACCGTCATTTACCGTAACTAACCAGGATCAACTATTGCTTGCTGCCATGGGTACAAACCAATCTGCACCAAACGTGTCCGGCAGTAGAACATTGGAAGCCACTAACTGGCAACCAACTGTTGGAGGTCACTCACCAATATTGTCAGTACCATTAGAGTCCGTTTGTTGGTTCAATAAGTTCCTTCACACCAGCCAGTTACAATATGAAGGCAACATCTCCATTCACGAGTCAACCAGCGATGCCGCCACCCGGCGTGTTTGTTGGGCCATATTTGCCATGGCATAATAACCATTTTTTTATGTCAATGAATGGAAGAATCAAGAAGTCCACCGGCTGCAGAAGAGTGTTTTCCGACCCTTTTGACCCAATATTTGTGGAACTAGTGGTACAGCATGACGAGCACGATTATTACAATGACACGAACCGATTCCGCCAAATTGGGAATGAGTAGGCTTGATATTACCATCCCTTAAGAGCATGCCTTATGGCACGGCACCAAAATTTCAATTCAGCCATGATCCAACTTCATCCAGAGTCCTAGTAATGATCTTCAAAGAAGTCAGTTACATCAGGATCTCGGCATTGACGTCGGTTTTGCATTTTAAATTTAAGGACAAGGACTTGCAGCTCTGTGACCAGCCACGCCCTAGAGTAAGAGTAGTGGTATGCTTCTTTAAGTTGCGTCTTCTAAGGGTGGCTGTCAAAAGTGACCCAGATGTTCTAGTTTCCTATTCTATACTGTATTAGGTTACACTTGTATCAGGATTCCCTCGGTTCATACAGTTTGTAGTTTTGGCCGACACTCTAGCGGCAGGCGCGGGTAGTGGATGGTCTGAAATGTCAGCCGTCCCCACTCTCTAACCCGTGGGGGCGTGAGGAGAGTCTCTTTCGCTTATTATTTGTGGTGGAAAGTAAAGTTTTCTGTCTCTATTTTGCTTTGATCACCATCTTTTGCTGAGACCGTGGCTTTCTACAACAGAATATCGCTGGCAAAGCGTACTGTGGGCGCATATTTTTGAAAATTATTCTACATTTCAATTTTAAAAGTCTAGCCTGAAACGAGGTTCTTTCTTCCTTCTCATCTAAATTCATCATTCTGGGAGTACGGACTCTAATTTTTCACATCTTCATTCTTCACAACAACAAAAAAAAGATTAAATTGATTCAGAGTGTGCCACGTTAGTCCTTGTTTTCCCCCAGCGGACAGAGGTACTTCTACTAAGAAATGTGCTTAATTGTGGGAATAAGAAATAAAATTTGTCACTTACCTTCCTCCATTGTTGCTCCTCGTGGCCCTGAGAAAATAACAGCCGTAGTCAGGTGACTTTTTCGGCGCAAAAATACCTTCGACTTTGCTGGAGGGAGGGGGAGGGAGAGGAAGTTGACATCGTTGGAATACACATATTTTTCGAGATTGGTTTAATAAGGTCTTTATTAGGATCTTACAACCATTTTTATGTTTTTTCTTTCATTAAGATTTATTTTTTTAACTTTTTGAATTTTTAACCCGTTACTCATTACTTCGTTACTCTGTTTAGTAACACCCCTCGAACTTGTTTACTTCGATTTCTCGCCATTCGGACTTGAAAGGCGAGTATATTCTCTAAAGGAATTTGTCATATTTCTTTCATCGAAGGATTGTACTATGGAATCCTTTTCGTCTTTATTAATGAAGATCGGAGACGAGACAGCCCGAGGACGTAAGTACCTTCACGAGAACAACATTGTCCATCGTGACTTAAAGCCCCGAAACATCCTCATCTCTAACCAGATGTATTGCGACTGATTGACGGACAAAGAAGCTATAAGGAAGGCGTGGGAGAAAGAACCAATTATTTGTAAACTTGTTGACTTTGGCAAGAGTAGAATTGAGATCATCCAAACTGCCACAGTTAGCTCCGCGCAAACAACGAACATTGACAGAGGAACATCTGTCTACATGGCTCCCGAATAGTTTTCTCCTGCGGGTACTTCGTTGTCTCTGGGGCAATTAAAAGTGTGCGATATGTGGTCGTACGGTATGGTTATGTTCATACTGCTAAATCCTGACCTGCAGTATCCTTATCAACTTGAAATTTATAAACTGCACCAGAAAACATACGAAATGTGCAAGAATGAGGTAGTCTGCCTATTGGCCATCAAGCAATTGCCAACTTTCTCTAACAAATTCAGCCGTTCTCAAGCTACTTCGCGGTTGATACTTGAAAGTGTCTTTGAGAAGTGTGCAGATTTTGATCCCACAAAGAGACCCGAAGCCTCGGGTTTAGTTGAAATGTTTCATCCAAAGGAAGGTCCAGTATGTAGAGAAATACCACTTGTTGTAAGCCAGAGTTCTGTTCTTGAGCAACACGACTACCTTGTTGCAGAGGGTGCCATTGGAATATCAAATGTTATCTCTAGAGATGTAACGAACAGCTGCTCCTCCCTTTCGGTGCTGATTGCTGAACGCATTTTGGTAGAAAGACAAGCTGACGACCTTCCCAGCCTCAACCCTGCTTTAGATGAATGGCAGTTCTTTAGTGAGAATGTCAGTAACTTGGTGTAGACTATGCCTGACCGCTTCAATCGCTATAGAAATATAATGTACGACGTAATTGAAGCATACAAAATATTACGTAACGCCGAGATTGTTAAAGATTGATTGTTAAAGATTGAGGAAATCATCACCGCTTCCAGCGTATTTACCAAGAAAGGAAGAAGTTCACTCTTCATGGCCTCGGAAAAACTTGCCGAATCTAACGAAATAATAGTTGCCATTTATACATGTGGGATTTACATATTTGTTATTGGTTGTCGATCAGGAAGATTCTTTGTGGTTGACACTTACACGATCACGCCTGAATTTGGTGGAAATGGTGACGGCCTGCTTAAAGTGTTCAGTGGAAAAGACCTCCCGTCACAAAGAGATGTATGGGGATGGAAACGACTGGCGCTTAGTGGAGTGAAATGGAACGCCGTGCAGTCGTTTCTGATAATGGAAGAGTATCATAGGTGACAAATTACTCCTTAATTTTGGCGCGAAACTTAAGGGCTAATCTATAATTTTACATGGGAGATAACAAAATTGCTATGGCAACGTCCCGTACGTCCGTCAGTGCCAAGATGGTAGCCTGCATAACAAGCTCTCCACTTGCGTCTCCTTTTACGTGATGCTAAAAACGGCTGTGTGGTGGCCTAGCATGAGCCGTTGGAAGTAGACGTACATTTGAAAGTTCCGCAAACCCGGCTTTGAGAAGTTAACACAACAAAGTGAATATTGCCGCTTTTGTACGTTTTCCACCATACTAACAGTTACGAACATGGGAAACTAAGATTTAGACAAAAACAACCGAGGATAAAGCAGCTCTTACATAGATACGGAATCCATCGAAACAGCCCAAGATGGCGCCTACATCAAAATGACGCTAACAGAATGTCAAAGTTTCTTATTAACACTTACAGCTATCGAAGACAACACTAAAATCCGTGAAGAACGAATTCTTAATCTGGAGGCTAGACTTGACGAAGCTCAAGTTGAAATACAAGCCTTAAAGAAACAACTCCGTGAAGTCAATAAGACAGTGGACAACACAGAAGGGTCCCTTGGGTTCACTTACGGTGAGCATGATGACCTTGTGGAACGTGTCGCGAACTGTGAAAACGAGCAGTCAACTTGTTGGGATGAGCTGACTCATTTAAACATCCATAGTCGTCGATGGAATCTAATTTTCTACAGAGTCAATGAGTCCAAAGACAAGGATTGTTTCTCGCTGGTACGTGACGTCTTAACCGAAATTTAAACCTGCCACAGGACAAAGCCTCGAATATGAAGCTTTGCGGGGCACACTGTCTTGGCAAGCCAAACAGAAACTGAGCCTGACCTCTCATTGCTCGCTTCACGTGTCGTGCTGACAGAGATTGCGTCTGGAGGGCTCGCTACAGGCTAAAAAACTCACGTATTTCAATGGGTGAAGACCTACCGAAGCGTTCTTATCCCGGCGATGAAGAAGATAAAAGAAGAAACACCTACCCACAAACCTACCGTCGTAGGAGATAAGTTAGTTGTTAATGGAAAGTTTATTTTCATTATGACGTGCCGAAGAAATGGCTCCCTGTCAACTCTTCAGTGAATACCCGGGTGGATTATGGCAATGGTACAGCCGAACAACAAGAACTATTGTAAAGTCAAGAAGAATCCTCTGCTGCTATGGTCCAATCCCAAGAACTGCTTGGTCAAAGTGAGTAGGTGACGCTTTTTCTGTAAGTTCAATCCTTTCACAGAACTTTAAAATTAACTCTTAGTTGAAGACAGTTTTATTCTTACTCCGTTGTTTCTTGCCTTTAAAATCAAGCTCTATTTTTGTGTTTCCAAATACGAGGACTTTCGACCCTGAAATGGAACTCGCTATTTTCATTCTTCTCTTACGGGTCACCAAATTTTCACCTTTAATGAAAAATCTGTTTATTTTACATTGAGAGTCAAAGTCGATGTTATTGCGGATACTTTCTACGCTCTTTTTATGCTACCCTCTCAACTATGCCAAACCACTTTCATGGGGTGCGTTAGAAGGCATTTTTCAGCGCCTTTTTTTATTTTTCTGTTTATGTCTCTTAAGTAATGTTTGTCTAAGTCCTTTGATAATTTATTCTATTTCTACTAGTTATGTTCTGTTTTCAGCCAGTATGTTAATATTCATTTTTGTTGTGTGGGCTTTGTTAGGCTTAAGCTACATATTTAAGTTTTTGCTTGTTCATTATACAGAGCTCCGTTTACGCCTTTTGTATCAGTTTACTTCCTATTGCGAACACCTTTCAAGGTGTTCGACCTTGAGTATGTAGGTCGAGTATATAGGTTTAATTAAGAAGACAATTAAGGAAGTAGCAAATGAATACAAAAACAACAATGAGGTGGATGCCACTCTCCTATGGGATACCATGAAAATGAAAATTCGATCAAGCTCAGTCTATTACCCAAAAAAGGAACACTAAAATGATATCCCAGAAAAATCGTTTAGAAAACGACATTGCATCCCTTGAAAAAAGACTAGATGAGGACAATTTATCGGAAACAGAAAAGAATCAAATACTTGACGAGCTGGCCGCTAGGAAACTACAAAGAGAAGAAATGTCTATTCACAAAACAAAAGGCGCGATTATACGATGGAAAGCCCGTTGGTACAACGAGGGGGAAAAAAAATGAAAAATTTCCTAAATCTTGAACAACGACACTTAAATAAAAAAAACTATCAAAAGTTTACAGCTGTCAGATAATAGTGTCGTTAAAAAAAAAATGACGAAATCTTAAGGGAGGCAAAATCTTTTTACCAAAAACTCTATACTTCAACTGTCGCACCAGAGAATGATCTTTATGATGACCTATTCTTCCCGGAGGGTAATACCCTCATACTCAATGAATTGGAACAACAGGAATCCGGAGGACCTTTAACGGAAACCGAATGCTGGGAAAGTCTAAAATCAATGCAATCTACTAAAAGCCGGGTACTGATGGACTACCAGCCTAGTTTTATAAACTGTTCTGGAAGAAATTCACCCCTACCTTTTGAATGCTTTAAAATATGCGCATAGGAACGGCCTCCTTCTGATACCAAAAAAGAATAAAGCTGCAAAACTCTTAAAAAATTGGCGGCCAATTACTCTTCTCAATCGCGACTACAAAATTACCTCTAAATGCATCGCAAGTCGAATACAAAAGTCTTTGTCATGGCTAATTGATAACGATCAAACTGGGTTTTTAAAAAACAGTTTCATTGGCGAAAACATACGACTTGTAGACAGTGTAATAAATTATGCTAACATAAAACAAATTCCAGGTCTGTTACTATTTATTGACTTCGAGAAGGCTTTTGATAGTCTAGAATGGTCATTCATCGAGAAAACCTTAAATTATTACAATTTTGGAAGTTCATTGGTTGCGTGGATTAGGCTCTTTTACACCGATATCAGCAGCTGTGTTCAGAACAATGGATGGACCTCTGACTTTTTGTCTTTAAGCCACGGAGTAAGGCAAGGATGCCCACTGTCCCCTTATATCTTTATTTTGTGTGCCGAGGTATTGGGAAATTCCGTAAGAAATGATACTAGGATACAAGTGTTATATCGTGACTTTGTTTTGTTATTGTTGTGTTACATTGTACGAAGTTACGTCATAGTCGTATTACGTGTACATGGATGCGCTTGCGCAGTGAGTGAGAACTAGGAATAAAACAAGACTAGAATGTTCATGTTCAATGCTCGCGTTGTTTCATAATTTCGTCCTCGGATTTCTAAGTTACAAAATCTGGCGACGAGGATGGGATAACTTTGTGTTATACGGCTATTTCGTGCTATTTCCTACACTGTATGATCTTACTTCTCTTCGTTTCGTTCGTTTGTGCTTCCGCCCACGTGCTCGCTGGTACGTTTGGAAATCTCGCCATGGCTTCACCCTTGCTCGGTTCTGTTGGTGAATTTGATCCCTCCTCTGAGACTTTTACTGCTTACTTCGAAAGACTTGACCAGTTCTTTGTAGCCAACGATATTGGAAAATGTGCTGATGATGCCACTGCGGCTGTTGTTCGGGCAGCTAATCAGAAAAAGGTCGTCGTGATGATCTCCGTCATTGGCAAGAAGACATACAGCACTCTTCGCGATTTGTGCAGCCCTGAGAACCCAAAGGAAAAAACATTTGAGGCATTATGTGAACTACCACAACAACACTTCAAGCCCAAATGATTGGAAGTTGCCGAATCCTATAGATTTCATCGATGTTGTCAAGAAGAAAATGAGAGCGTGTCGGTTTACAGTGCTCGTTTAAGACATTTGGCCGCCACTTGTAATTTTGGCGAATTCTTGAACCGCTCGCTCCGCGATCAGTTTGTGTGTGGGATTCGAAACCCTGCGACTCGAAAAAAACTATTGAGTGAAGATCGAACATTTCAAGAGGCTCTCCAAGTGGCTATCGCCGACGAAATCGCGGCTAAAGAAACTTTGCAAGTCCAACAGCAACAATTGCCTCAACCAGTTAATTCAGTTGCGAAAGAATTCTCCGCCTACCCAATTCAGCTACCCAATCTAACTCGCGGCCGTCTCCTAGCCAGATTTCGTCCAGTTCCCAGCCAGCAGCTTCTTATGCTTGTTTTTCATGCGGTAATTCTGATCATGTAAGATCTAAATGCAAATTTAGGAATGCTTGCAAGTTACGAGGACATATTGCTCGAGTGTGTAAGAAAGGTGGAGTAAATGTTATGGGTTTTGAAGAAGAGCCACCTCAGGAACAATTATCTGAAGAAGATGAGTTGTATGTGGTTTATGACGTTCATGCAATGTCCAGCTCTGAAATTTCTGTACCTCTGAAGATTGAAGACCAGGATTGCCTGATGCAGTTAGACACTGGGTGTACGTTATCCCTTGCCCCGATTACTTTCGTGAAACAAGTTTGCCCAGACATTGAAATGAAATCTACAAATGTTGTGCTGTCGACATACACAGGTGAGACTGTGCGTCCCTTAGGAGAAGCACATGTGAAGGTTGAGTACATGGGATCACAACACACACTGCCTTTGCTAATTGTACACGAAGGGACAGGTGCTTCATTTGGTCGAAACTGGCTTACAGATGTCAAGCTGGATTGGAAGAATTTGCCAGGTTTGAATCACGTTTGACCTTTGCCATGTCGTCCCTCTACACACCCAGAAACCCTAGCAAACCAGACATTAGCATCAGTCCTTGAGAAATACAGTGAATTATTTCAGCCCCAACTTGGATGTTACACTGGGAATCCTGTCGTGTTGAATGAAAGTAAAGAAGCCAAATTCCATAAGGCCAGACCAGTTCCTTATGCATTACAGTCGAAAGATGAGAGTGCACTGCTTAAGATGGAAAAAGATGGTGTGATCGAACGAGTGACATCTGCGAACAGTGCAGCTCTAATTGTAGTCGTTGGCAAGAAAGACTCTGACGATGTCCGTGTTTGTGGAGATTTCAGTGTCACATATAATGCAAGTGCCCGTGTTGAAACCTACCGTATGCCTCAGATTGAGGATATGCACTCAGCATTAAGAGGATGCACGGTGTTCAGTGTCCTGGATATGAAGCAGGCCTATTATCAAGTACCGATTGCAAAAGAGTCCCAGTCTTATCTTACAATAAACACTCACATTGGGTTGTTTACATTCAAAAGATTGCCGAATGGCATTCATTCTGGTCCTGCTATCTTTCAGAGAATCATGGATAATTTGTTGTCGGACATACAAAAGGCTGTTAGTCGTTTGGATGATATTCTTGTTGCTGGCACAGATGAAGAGGACCACCTTCATACACTTTCACTAGTGTTAGAGCGACTTCTTAATGCTGGATTCCGACTAAACAAGGCAAAGTGCAAGTTTTTTCAATCATCAGTTGTCTAACTGGGACATGTGATTGATGGAGAGGGCCTACACCCCACTCAGGATAAACTTAAAGCTACTCGGGAATCTCCCAGGCCCAAAGATGTAACGGCTTTGAAATCTTTTCTGGGACTTATAATGTTGTATTCGCGGTTCATGCCTCATCATTCTACAGCCCTAGCCCATTTACACCAACTACTTAAAAAAGGTACTTAATGGAGATGGTTGAAGGCTGAAGAGGATGCATTTGTTGCAGCAAAACAGCTCATTCTGAACTCACAGACACTGGTACATTATGATCATAACTTGCCCCTCTTTCTTTAATGTAATGCCTCATCTTATGGCACTGGAGCGACCTGTCTCATCAAATTGATGGACAATTTCGACCAGTGGCTTTTGCTTCTTGCACTTTGACCGTGCTCAACAAAACTATTCTCAGCTAGAAAAGGAGGCCTTCAGTATCATCTTTGGATTAAAGAGATTCTGACAGTATCTCTATGGTCGCTCCTTTACAATTTTAACTGACCACCGACCTTTGCTAACTCTCTTGGGTCCTCAGCGACCGGTTCCTGCTCATGCTGCAGCTCGACTTCAAAGATGGGCTCTTATCTTTGCTTCATACAATTACAAGATTAAGTATCGTAGTACTGGAGCACATGTAGATGCAGATAGCATGTCTCGCCTTCCCTTGCCTCAGACATGGTCTCCCAAATGTGAACATGTTGAATGCTATTTCTTGGACACTGAAGTTGTCACTTATGTGACCAGTCAGATGATCAAGAAGGAGACTCAACTGGATCCAGTCTTATCCCAAGTGTACAATTACGTCATTAGCGGTTGGCCGCATGTAGTGGATCCCAGTCTGGTACCATTTAAGACAAGACAAGACGAGTTAAGCACACGGCATGGTTGCTTATTATGGGGTGCTCGTGTTATTGTTCCTCCATCGCTCCAAGAGAAAGTGTTGCAAGAACTGCATGACACTCACCCCGGGATCTCTCGAATGAAAGCTTTGGCACGATCTTATGTATGGTGGCCCAACATGGATTCTGACATTGAATTAACTGTTTCGACATGTAGCACTTGCCAGTCTATGAGATCAGATCCTTCCCCGCCACAAATTCATCCTTGGACCTTTCCAGCAAGACCGTGGTCTTGCATTCATGTGGATTTTGCAGGGCCAATCTCTGGCTGTACCTACCTTGTGGTAGTAGATGCTTACAGTAAATTTCCAGAGGTAGTTAAAATGTCTACTACATCAGCTAAAGCAACTGTGACCACCTTGCGTGACATCTTCAGCAGGCATGGTTTGCCCGAAATTATTGTGTCAGACAATGGTCCCCAATTCACCGTTACAGAATTTGAACAATTTTGCACCAGCAGTTGAATACTGCACCGTACTTCGGCGGTGTACAAGCCATCTACAAATGGTCAAGCAGAACGTGTCGTCCAGATTTTGAAATCAGCTATTAAACAAGCCCTGCTTACTAAAGCAGACGTAGACACTGTCATTGCAAATCATTTATTGGTTTACCGGACCACGCCTCATTCCACCACAGGTGAACCACACTCACTGCTTCTCATGGGCCGAAGACTGCGCAACCAGCTGGATTTGCTGACACCTTCACTTGAAACACATGTTGAGGCTCGCCAATACAGAACCATGGTGAGTCGTACAGCAGATAGAGGTCTCCACAAATTCAATGCCGGCGATTCTGTTCTGGCTCGAAATTTTGGAAGGGGAGGAAAATGGGTGCGTGGAGTAGTTACTGAAGTCCTTGGGTATTGTCATTATATTGTCAAGGTGGCAGGTAATCTGTGGAAACGACACATAGACCAGCTGCTGAGACGCCCTGCAGATGTGGCTTCGACGCGTGGTTTTTCAGCATCCAACTACCAGTCTATGCCGCTTGATGTATCTCCTGATATGGATCAGCCTTATGAGATTGTTCCGGATTCAACTATACCGTCTACTTATATCCCTCCTACAGCAACATTGGATGAGTCCATTCTGGCCAGCACTGGAGATTCTCCTGTTCCAAACAAGCAACCAACAGTGTCGATGCCTGTTACTGATCCCCAGTGAGTGAGAACTAGGAATAAAACAAGACCAGAATGTTCATGTTCAATGCTCGCGTTGTTTCATAATTTCGTCCTTGGATTTCTAAGTTACAACAAAATCTCTATGGTCGCTCCTTTACAATTTTAACTGACCACCGACCTTTGCTAACTCTCTTGGGTCCTCAGCGACCGGTTCCTGCTCATGCTGCAGCTCGACTTCAAAGATGGGCTCTTATCTTTGCTTCACACAATTACAAGATTGAGTATCGTAGTACTGGAGCACATGCAGATGCAGATAGCATGTCTCGCCTTCCCTTGCCTCAGACATGGTCTCCCAAATGTGAACATGTTGAATGCTATTTTTTGGACACTGAAGTTGTCACTTATGTGACCAGTCAGATGATCAAGACGGAGACTCAACTGGATCCAGTCTTATCCCAAGTGTACAATTATGTCATTAGCGGTTGGCCGCATGTAGTGGATCCCAGTCTGGTACCATCTAAGACAAGAAAAGACGAGTTAAGCACACGGCATGGTTGCTTATTATGGGGTGCTCGTGTTATTGTTCCTCCATCGCTCCAAGAGAAAGTGTTGCAAGAACTGCATGACACTCACAGAATTTGAACAATTTTGCACCAGCAGTAGAATACTGCACCGTACTTCGGCGGTGTACAAGCCATCTACAAATGGTCAAGCAGAACGTGGCGTCCAGATTTTGAAATCAGCTATTAAACAAGCCCACCTTACTAAAGCAGACGTAGACACTGTCATTGCAAATCATTTATTGGTTTACCGGACCACGCCTCATTCCACCACAGGTGAACCACACTCACTGCTTCTCATGGGCCGAAGACTGCGCAACCGGCTGGATTTGCTGACACCTTCACTTGAAACACATGTTGAGGCTCGCCAATACAGTACCATGGTGAGTCGTACAGCAGATAGAGGTCTCCACAAATTCAATGCCGGCGATTCTGTTCTGGCTCGAAATTTTGGAAGGGGAGGAAAATGGGTGCGTGGAGTAGTTACTGAAGTCCTTGGGTATCGTCATTATATTGTCAAGGTGGCGGGTAATCTGTGGAAACGACACATAGACCAGCTGCTGAGACGCCCTGCAGATGTGGCTTCGACGCGTGGTTTTTCAGCATCCAACTAGCAGTCTATGCCGCTTGATGTATCTCCTGATATGGATCAGCCTTATGAGATTGTTCCTGACTCAACTATACCGTCTACTTATATCCCTCCTACAGCAACATTGGATGAGTCCATTCTGGCCAGCACTGGAGATTCTCCTGTTCCAAACAACCAACCAACAGTGTCGATGCCTGTTACTGATCCCCAGTGAGTGAGAACTAGGAATAAAACAAGACCAGAATGTTCATGTTCAATGCTCGCGTTGTTTCATAATTTCGTCCTTGGATTTCTAAGTTACAACAACAAGGAATCAAAGTCCTTGACACTGAATGTTAAATATCACAATACGCTGATGATACCACTTTCATCTTAGATGGATCTCAGTCCTCATTTTCTAGATCTTTATACCTGGTAGACACTTTCACCCTGATCTCGGGTCTTGGAAGTCAATTACGAAAAAACTGAAGCCCTATGGATTGGCTCCTGTAGAGGTTCAGAAATCATCCTTCCCTCCTCGAAACCACTATCACGAGCCAAAGATAAGGTATATGCATTGAGAGTATGTTTTTCGACTTTGGAAGATATATACTCCCGTACATGTCAGCTTTTCGTAAAAAATATAT